ACTTAAGTGTGCCCAGTATCCATCTGGTTGATTGCTTACAAAATCCTGCTTTGCCAGCCACCTTACTGTATCAAAATTGACAGATTCCATAGGTTGCAGTAGACTGAACGGGTACATTGATCCTGTTGTAATGGGTTCCCAGGCTAGATTTGTGCCGCCCACTCTCTTTGTGTCAGTTCAGCAAGGAGAACAACGAAAAAGGTCGTAAGGGAAAGGAAGTCGTTCATTGTGTCCCTCGACGAGCGACCGATCAGATTGTGCCCTCATTCGCCTAGGGGCTTGATTGGTCATCTGGTCCCTTTGTCTTAGCCGGCTTGTGTGACCTCTAGGCGCGCGCACATCGCGAGCGCACACCGCGCACATCCTTTATCTGTGGGCGGGCCGATAACGTGACCTGAGAGTTCACTCGGACCGCTTGTTAGGAATAATCCCAACAGATCCAACTGGGATTCAACGCATGGCGCCCGGGGGAAGGGGGCTCGTAGCTCAGTTGGTTAGGGTGTTGGGTGTACTAAAACTTACGCCTTGTCGAAGTGGGTTCGAATTGCAAGTAGGCCGCCGAGTTTTTCAAAAGTTAATTATGTAACCAATGTCTTACCGGCAAACGTTAGGACTGCGAGATACGCGCATTTCTGGCTCATTAGCCGTCGTCAGTCGTGGTTACCCGACTCCAGTATAGCCACGGAAACGGCCGCTACACTCGAGTTTCGAACCCGCGACCAGTGAGCTAGAGACGAACGTCCTATCGACTGAGCCACCGGGTCGACATCTTGCCGGTTGTCTGAGGTTAATTATGTGTACAAGATTTTGAACACTTTACTTTCCCAGCAGCATCGCACGCGGTCAGAAGTATTATTACTTTGTAGTGCTATAACATAAATTCTGTCACTAAATGCACCGCCTTCTAGTACGTACATACAGGAGTGGACGGTTTGGACCAGAAAACAAGATCCCTGTTGCCCATACAGGGAAAACTCTCATAGCGGGTATGCAGTTGATAACACCGTAGGAACTTTACAAATTATTGCTGCTTCTGACGCCTGTGGGACGATCATAGATTCGTTTTAAAAAATGAAGTACAGATTTTTAATTAAGCATGCAAGTCAGCACCAGCCGGCGAACCTGTGCTAATAACTGGACGCTCATATTGCCGTTACTTAGATGCAGTATCGAAGGGGCAAAACTGAGTTAGTCAGCCTGGCATCACGTCTATCCTAGTCTGGACAGCTAACTCCCCTTTTCAATTGAGGAGGTGTCACAGTGAATTGTTCGTTGCATGAACTACAGTACCAGAAAAATATAGTTAGCAACTTAAAACGCTCTAGGATAAGTCCAAGTCTAGAGGCAGGGGGATCAAGTCAGGCTAGGTTTTATTAAGGGAAAAGTAGGTCAATACCTTTGAACTCCCTATTGGTTCAGAACAGTTATACAATGCATTAAAACTGCTCCCCGACCGGGAATCGAACCCGGGCTGCCTGGGTGAAAACCAAGAATCCTTGGATGAACCAACAAAAGTATGACCCACTAATCTTTCATCAAAACGATGGTTCCAAACGGTGCAGGCGAATAGACCTATCCGCTAGCTGGACAAATGCAATGATTTACCGCTCTAATTGCAGTACTCAGC